TTTAATTATTACAGAGTTCCGAATGTTCATGTTCGGAACTCTGTAATAATTAAACCAAGAAACGACACATAAACATCGTTTACATGTATGTTGATTGTCGGTCACTTTGACTTGTTTTTCTCCCCAACTCAATTTCAACGGTTCATTGTTGTGACTTATTTGAATTTAAGTGCGCACTTATTTATTTTCAATTTATTATTTCTTGTAACTGCGTTATTGTTCTCTTATTTTGATTAATTATTATTATATCTCAATGCAGTGCTGAAGATGATCTACAATTACAGATCGAAACGTCCACAGAGAATACACTTTACACGATTCATTTCTTGGTTTTTTATATTTGATATTCTTGTTTTTATTTCTTCTAGCCGGTTTTGTTAAAATTTATTGTTATTAACAATTTTATGTNAAAAACAATTTATGGCCGCGTTTAGTACAACAATTACTGAATTGTCGATACTCTTGTCACTACTCAACGTGGAGTAACCGGTTCGAAAAGTGTCACTCATGTTTGATTGCTAGAAAGCAGCTTGTTTTACTGAACGCACCCATTTCTTCTATACAATTTAAATTCGTTGTTGCAATTTTCTTTGCATATTTCTTGTTTAACAAACAATTTACTTTTCTAGGTCCACATTACGCAGATGCTTCCATTTTTTGGTACTTTGTGCCTATTATTTCTAACCGGAATTGCTTCTTCTACGGATGAGACTTTATCTGAAGAAGTGCAATGCATAAAACCGATATCCTATGAAATGAAGATTTTTCCGCTAATACAAAATAACTCTATCAACGTTGAATCTCGCGTCAAAATAAACGTCACATGTATTCAACGAAGAATAAAATTATATTTTGGACGTTATTGTAATCAACCGGAANTTTCTATCAGTAGTGATATACAAAATAGTTCTACTTCTTTGTTTTTAAAAATAAACTCGGTGTTATTTTTTACGAAAGATCGATTCAACAGCTTAACCATCACAATCTTTTCCCGAAATCGCGAGAATATTAAAATAAACAACCGAATAACATATTTACAAAGTGGAAAATATTGGATACATGCCAAATATAATTGCAGTTTAGNGAAAGTTGCAACGGTTTTTTCATATGTCCAACAATCTGAAGAAACACAGTAAGTTACTACTAAGTTGTGAAGAAGTGATTAGTATTACGTTTATCCTGTTAAAGAATAATTTATATATATTACTAGTAAAGGAATACTTTATATCTAGCACTCATGTTTTTACTATACAGATATTTGATTTTGCCGCGTATTCCCGCTGAATGGATATTTCCATGGTGGAAAAACCCAGCAAATAAAGCCACATTTAGTATTCGAATTTACCACAACATCGATGAAATAGCTCTTTCACATATGCCTGGTGATACACGTCGTGAAAGAATTACATACTTTTCCCCTTCGTCTATAATGTCTACTCATTTAGTAGCAATAGCAGTCGTACCTTCTATCGTAGCTAATTCCTTTTATTTTTTTAAGGAAGATATTATAATAAACAGAGTACAAATGACCAGTAAATTGTCATATGCACAATCTATTATTACAAATATCAAGCATCGTGTTAGAACCACTTGGAGAGATGTATCATGGTCACGTGTGATTTATGTAGCACTTCCAATAAATTCTAGCCATTACGAAAGTATAATAACTAAAAATCAAGTTTTCTTCAAGTAAGATACTACTCAAGACAATAAAACAAGTTTATAAACAGATGTACCAA